ATTCTTGATACGAAACCACGACGACACACACCAGTCGACTCGCATCGGTTGCCTCCATGAACGGCGGAGCTATTCTCGCGTCCAAACCACACCTGGCTCCAACGTGGACACGCCCATAGCTGGGGACACTACTAGGTCACGCATGGCATCAGAAGTTTTGTCTCTGGGCCCCGAAAGGCATCTCTAGCAGTGTCGTTACGCATGCCCCCTCCCCTCCTGGGCGCATACGCCTCACGTCTCGCCAGAGCATAAGCCCTTGGCGTGTGGCGAGACGAGTTTTTCGCCATGCAGCGAGCAGCAAGCCGCCCGCCGCAAACAGCCGGAGGCATCGCCACGGCACTGGCTGCGCCGCGGTCCCGCACCCGTCGGCGAAGCTCCCCCCGCCGAAGACCGCGCGTAGCGACGCCTTGACGATCGAGATGAGCGCGCTCCAAGCTCGTCCACCTACTGCCCCTGAGAGTTGGTTACGAGTGGGATCAGCTCCCCCCCTTGGGATCGAAGCCGCCACACCTCGCACCCAACATCCCAGGCGGGATCATCTCTCTCTCTCTCTCTCTCTCTCTCTCTCTCTCTCTCTCTCTCTCTCTCTCTCTCTCTCTCTCTCTCTCTCTCTCTTCTCTCTCTCTCTCTCTCTCTTCTCTCTCTTCTCTCTCTCTTCTCTCTCTCTCTGGCGCTGGCTGCCTCACCTCGCCAGTGCTGTTCAAGCCTGCGAGAGGCGTGTCGGCTCGCCGCCCGCGTCGCCCGCGGCGGGCGCGCGTGGCGTGCCGCTGGTCGGGAGTGCCCAGCAGGCTGTGCAGGGCAGTCTGCCTCACTCAGAGCGCCGCGGCGCGGGGCCGCCGTCGGCGCTGCGCCGCGAACGCTGCCGCTGTGTGCGTCACCATCGCGTCACCACTGTGTCCTCGCCGCGTCGTCGACGCCGCTCGCCGCTCGCCCCGCTGCCCTGCCCTGCCCTTCCACGTATTATTAATTGCTTGAGGGACAAGTCCTCACCTAATTATTCATCGCCCGAGGTGGCACGTCCTCAACTATTTATTAATTGGTCGAGGCTCTTCACACGCCGGTCCTTCACAGGTACGAGAGGGGTGCGGCATCTCTTGCGGGTCTCGCCAGGGGCGCCTACCAACCTCGCTTGCGAGGGGCGTGTGGCATGTCTGAACGGACTCGTGAGGGGCGCCTGCCTACCTCGCTTCGTCGAAGCGGCGCTTTGTACCCACACCCACCCCGCCGCATTCGTCGCCGGCGCGCGACACGTTCCTGTCGGCCGGACTGTCCTCGCCGAGTGCGTGCCGCTGAGGCGGGACGCACTCAGGGACAGTGCCGGCGGGACGCGGCTCGAGAGGCAGCTCCCGCGGAGGCACGGCTGGCACCCGTGGCGCGGGGCTCGTCTTCGGAAAGACCAGGATCGCTCTACTGGCAAACTTCTGGCTGACACGCGCGCCCGGTCGAGCCTTCGGCGGGCGCGCTGCGGTCGCACGCCTACCCAAGTCATAGGCCACGGCGTGCGATCTAGATTCAGCACACGCGCCTCTGCTCGCAACCACTCATCCAATGAACTGTCGTCACCCATGAGTGCGAGATAGGGCTGGCGGCTGGCCGCTAGCCTGTGAGGAGGGCGTCCATAGACACCTCACAAGACCCCACACACGGTATCGTCCGTGCCTTGCGGCCGGCGACGAGATTGCTAGAGGCGGAGCAAGCCTGCTCTAGTCTCACACGTTCGCCCCTGTCGCCTGTCTGTGTTGTTGTGCTGTTGTTTGTCTCTTGGCACCTTGGAGTGCTGGGGGGGGCGACAGGGGGGACGTGGCTGGCCTGAGTGATGTGTACGCCCACTCAGGATGTGTGGCAGCCCGCTGGCTGTGTGTCTCGTGAGCTTGTTTGTGTCTGTGTGTCGCTCGTGCGTGTCGTCATCATCTGTCTTGCGTCCACCCATACCGCGTTGGTGTCCAGTCCGAGCCTGACTGTTCTTCACCTTCCTACATACATACATCTCTCTCTCTCTCAGGGAGTCGGCCGGCGCGAGCGACGGCCGCCGAGCTTTAGGTCGCCGACATACAGCGAATATTGTGCACCAAACGTGTGCTGAGAAGGGGTACTAGGTACTTTTCGCTTCCCGCGCTCACCGAACTCGCTCCTCCAACTCGGGCGCTTCCCGCTCGGCCGCGCTCACCTCGACCATGGACCTGTCCGCCCTCCCGCTCCCGCCCTCGCGGCTCGCTCTCCTCCACACAGCCGGGTACCGCAAGCGCAGCGACCTGGACGGCGTCATCGCGGCGACGCTCGCGCAAAAGATTGGCGGCACGGCGGCCGAGGCTGCGCGGCTGCTGGCCAACGTGCACTCGGGCGGCAGCAGCTCGGACGACCTGGGCGCAAACTACCTGCGCACCTCGGCTCGCACCGGCCTCGCGCTTCTGCAGGAGGAGCGCGCCGCCCAGAAGATTGTCACGCTCGTGCAGCCGCTCGACGAGCTTCTCGGCGGCGGCGTGCGGCCGGGCCAGCTCACCGAGGTTGCGGGCGTGCCCGGCGTGGGCAAGACGCAGATGGGGATGCAGCTGGCCGTCAACGCCGCCGTCCCTCACGCACTCGGCGGCGCCGGTGGCGAGACGGCCTACATCGACACGGAGGGCTCCTTCTCGGCGCAGCGGGTGCGCGAGATGGCGGAGGGGCTCGTGGGCTCGCTGTGGCAGAGCCTCGTGGCGTGCCGGCCCGAGGAGCGGGGCGCGCGGGAGGAGGCGTTGCGCGGCCTCACCTGCGAGGGCGTCCTCTCCGGCATCCACGTCTTTCGCTGCCACGACCTCGCCGAGCTGGTCGCCGCGGTCAAGGGTCTCTGCGCGTTTGCCGAGGGGCGCTCGTCGCGCGTGCGCCTGGTGGTGGTCGACTCGGTCGCGTTCCACTTCCGGCACGAGAACCTCCCCTTCGCGCGCCGGCTCCAGCTCCTCGGAACCGTCAGCCAGGCGCTCCTCGACTTTGCGCGCGCCGAGCGCGCCGCGGCGGTGCTGGTGAACCAGGTGACGACACCTCCCAGACACTGCCTAGACATTTCCCAGACACTGCCCAGACACTGCCCAGAGATTGCCTGGACGCCACCTAGACACTCCTCTCTTGCCAATCAGGTGACGACGAAGGTCAACGACGCGACCAACGACTCGTTCCTCGCGCCTGCGCTCGGCGAGTCGTGGGCAGACTGCCGCACCAAGCGCGTGCTCCTGGAGTGGCAAGGGTTCGACGGTGTGGTAGTGTATGATAGGCGCACACCTGCCACACCAAGCTGATGCTCGAGTGGCGGCAGCGCACCCGCGTCGCGCGCCTCTACAAGGGCGGCCCGCCCGGCTGCGTGCCTTACCAGGTCCTCACCGAAGGTGTGCGCAGGGCGGAGGGCGCAGCGGCGGCGGCGCCCGAGCCGGCCGCGGCGTCGCTCGCGCGGCAGCGGGACGAGCAGGCGGGCGCTTGGGCGGCGCAGGAGCCGAAGCGGCAGCACACAGGCGACTCGTGAGGCGGGAATCGGACGAGCGCCCAGTGGCAGCTCTCCCCTGTCCAGAGTCCACGCACCGCGCATGCACTTGACTCTTGAGGAGGCTTTCGGGTGGCTGGGGTGCACTTGCCCACGGCTTCTCTGGCTACTTCTGTCGGGTGACAATCGTACGTTCGCCTATCTTTGTCTGTGTCCGCCGCGGTGTAATCCTGAGAGACAGTGAGAGACTTGTCGAGCGGAGGAGAGAAAAAAGACATATATACACGTATATCTAATATCATAATTGCGGATATCATAATATGCGGCCGACTGCACGCTAAAGGCTACACGCTCGCACACCACTTGCAGAGTGGCTCTCCCGGGCGCTCAGCCCACGGCGGAGGCACGCCAGGCCCCGGGCAGCCGGCCGTCACTCGCCTAAGCGCCTAAGCGGCCTAAGCGGGGGGGTGCTTAGGGTGCTTAGGCGCTTAGGCGGCCCTTGCGAGCGTGGCGGCGTGGTGGTATCGTAATACAAGTGACTCCGATGACACACATGATGCTCTTGCTAGTGTCATTGCTCAGAGAGCAGCCTCACCGCGTCGAAAGTCTACCACTGGCCCTGGTCGCACACCGCCGCTGAGCTGTGATGATGCCCACAGCACCAGCAGCAAAGGCGGGCGGGCCGACCCCGCGGCCATCGCCGCCGCTGCCGCCTCCTCCGCCGCCGGCGCCGCCCCCTCTGCCGTCGCCGTCACCTTGGGCTGCATCACCCGCGCCGCCGCCGCGCACCGGCTCGTGCTCATTCAAAGGCGCCTCGAGTTGCAGGCCAGCGGCGCTGACGTTGTCGTGGTCGGGCTGCCCAACGTCGGCGCGGGAGGGAGGGGGCAACGCCGTTATGAAGAGCGCGAGAGCGAGCGCCGACGGCCCAGATTCTGAGCAGCAGCCCGCCTGGTCATGGGCCACTTGCCTACGTGCGTCCAGCTTCCACTATAGGACGAACGTCGAAGTTTGCTCTCCGACGCCGTGCCGAGCGAAACCTTTTCCTTCGAAGCCCGGCGACGTAGCCGGGCGAGCGGAATAGGGCAGCCCTAGAGAGCACCTTGAGGCCATTCAATAGAGCCCGTACTATAGTCGAGAGTCGATCGCCGGCCCGCGCAGTGCTGCTCTGACCGCTCCGCCGGGCCGCCTCCGGGCCGCCGCGGCGGAGACGTGCACATAGGCAAGTTGGTATTTTCATATATGAACTTCAAAATAGTATTGGCTAGTCTAATTCTACTCATCACAACTCGCCAGGAACACCCACACACTATAGGGTCATTGTGTAGCCCTGCTTAGAAGGAAAAGGTTTTCTGCAAGGTCCGTATGCCTTACCGTGTAGTCGGCCATGCCTGTACGGGTGCATTTATAATTTATATGGTTTACATGTGGTGCTGAAGCGTGAAGTGAGTGTGAACACGAATGGCGTATGGGCTGAGAGCAACGAGCTGAGAGCGGCGACATGTGATGCTGAAACACACAGTCACAGACTCAACACAGAGCCGGTGTGCGCGGTTCACAGCGGGCCCGAAATGCCCTGCCGGTACCCCTGCGCGACCAGCGCATGCGCTGAGCGGTGCGCCCTGCCCCTCGCCCACCAGAGTGCAAGGCAGCAGAGGAGTCCGCCGCATACCGCTGCCGGCCCGCCGCCGCCCACCGCCGCCCAACCCTCCGGCGCGGCTGCCTCGCCGGCGGCGGAGAAGGCGGTAAAGGCGGGCTCCGCGCCGGGCTGCGGCTTCAAGCTAGGGACGATGAGGCGGTCGATCGCGTTGTGGTACCTACGCGGTGCTCTCGCAGGTGGGGAGGAGAGGCGCGGCTGCAGCGTGGGGAGGAGAGGCGCGCGCATGTACGGCTTGTACGACTCGCCTGCAGGAAGGTTCCGAGAGGGTTCAGATAAGGTTCAGAGAGGGTTCAGAGAGGGTTCAGAGAGGGTTCAGAGAGGGTTCAGAGAGGGTTCAGAGAGGGTTCAGAGAGGGGTCCCAAGAAGGGGCGATGTGCCCTGCTCACGCCACTCGCCTCCAAAGAGGTAGAAGGCGCCGCCCGACGGGTCGCGGACAACGCCTTGCCGGTAGCGGTGAGTCGGCGAGCTCGGCGTGCTCACGCGGCGCCAGCCTCCTCCCGCGTACACCCACGCGTCGCCGTAGCACGTGCACCTGCGGCAGGCCGACTCGCGCACTGACTCTCGCGCCCCCGACTCTCGCGCCCCCGGACCTCCCTTTCCGCAACCCTCGGCTCGGACAACCTCGGTCAATCTCGGTCAATCTGAGTCAATCTGAGTCAATCTGAGTCAATCTGAGTCAATCTCGGTCAGTCTCGCGAGCCGCACCCAGGCGTGCAGTGTGCTCCGCCGTACAGAAGCAGGCTGTCGGGCGGCGCCGCGACGAGGGAGGCGTGCGATCGGGCAGCCGGCGCAAGCGGCACGGGCCCGTGGCCCAGCCCGCTCTGCGTGAGAAGCGACCAGCGCCGCGTCGTCGCGTCAAAGTGCCACAAGTCGTCGAGCGGGGTGGGCGGGGAGCGGCTGCCCGGCTTGCCGCGCCGCGTGCCGCCGAAGACGAAGAAGCCGCGCCCGTCCGGCGCCGCGCCTACCGCCACTCCCTCGCGTGACGGCGTCGCGTCGCGAGGCGGAGAGGGCGCGGCGGGGAGGGCGCGCGCTTGCGGCGGCGGCGTGGCGCGTGCCCGGGTGCTGCCCTCCTGCGGATGCGACCGCCGCCGCGTCGTCCACCTGCCATGGTAGTGATCGAGATCAATTGGACGACGATCGGATGAGATGACCCACCAGACCTTGCGAGCTCCAGGCCGCACCTTTGTCCACGCACGGGCGGCGAAGGAGAAGCGCCACGTGTCGTCGCGTTCGAGCCCGCCGTAGACGTACATCGCGTCGCCTGCGGCAGGCGGCTGGCTCTGAGGGAGGGAGGGAGGGAGGGAGGGAGAGAGGGAGGGAGGGAGGGAGGGAGAGAGAGAGACAGAGAGAGAGAGAGACAGAGAGACAGAGAGACAGAGAGCGGTGGCGTCGCGCCGACGAGGGCGGCCACATGCAGCGCGCGCTTCGGCGGCGCCCTGCCGACCGGCGTGACGGACGACCACGTGAAGCTACTCAGGTCGAGCCGCCAGAGCTCCGAGTTCCACGCCTTGAAGACATAATTGTGCAGCGAGTGCTTGTGCCCGCCGTCGTCGCCGCCGTACATGTAGAGGCCGCCGTCAAATACGACGGCGGAGGCAGAGTAGCGCGCCGACGGCGCACCGTGCCGTTCGCCGCGGTGCACCTGCCGCCACGCGCCGCGCGACACCTCAAACACCCACGCGTCGGACAGCCATGCCGGCTGGCGGATGTCGTGGTTGTAAAAGTAGCCGTGCGTTACGACGATGCGGCCTTCGTGCCACACGACGCACGCCGAGTAACGCACCGACGGGTGCGTTGAGTCGCCGATCATCGGGCGGTGCTCGGGCAACACCACGTCCCAGGCGGCAAGAGTCGTGGCGTTGTCGGGCATTGGGAGGCCACAGAAGAAAAGAATTCGCGGGCCACGCGGCACGGGACTGGCGCGCACTGGCACTAACACGAATAAAAGAATGGGGATATTTTCGTCGTGCCACTTAAACTCCCTGTGTGGTGGCGGCGTGCCGTCCTCCCATGCTCCCATCCCTCCCTTGCGGTCTGTTTTCTTTCTTTCTTCCCTCTTTTGCGAGGGAGTTGTGTGTTAAATTCTTTTCATATGGAAGTGTGTTGTGAGTGGGGTGAGCCTACACGAACGAGCAGTACCACTGCGCCGCGCCGTTTCTCGAATTTGTATCGGGCGCCGGCTTTGATTGCTTTGTCCGACAGTCGCAAGTTGTGCCACAGCTGCGGCTATCTCGCCTGGCGCATGCGACCTCGATGCGCGGCGCTGCAGGCGCTAGCGGCGGCATCGCTGGGAACAGTCTACGCCGCTGCGGAGTGCGGGGAGCTAGGCCGAGCCCACGGCCTCCGCCTCGACTTCCTGAACTCGGAGGCGGGCGATGACATCAACAATTTGGGTCGCGGCGCTCCCCGCAGTGCTCCCCCCTGCCATTCTGTCCACCCGCGCGGGCCGGCTCGCACAAGCCACGCAGTGACGACCCGCTTGCCGTGCCAGGCGGCTTTCCCGGCGGGCTTGCTTATGGCGACTGCACGGTGCTCCACCCCCTCACCGCGAAACGCTAGCGGAGCGGCTACAATCGTCGGCCCCCAGCGACCCGCAGCGATGGATGCCGCCGCCCCCCCGCCCCCTGCGGCTGACGCGCCGATGCACGACCGGCCTCCGTCGGATGGCTCTCCGGCCTCTCCGGCCGCTGACGCGGCCGCCCATGCTGCTGCCGATCCGGTCCCTCTCACGCTCAGCGATATCCGCACAAGCTACGACAACTTTGAGGTCGCCGGCTTTGGCCAGGTGCAGCGACCACCTGCTTGCCTCCATGTTCACGCTTCGCGCCCCTCCCCCCCTCTGACACCGCCGTATGACCTTAGGTGAGGGGCACGACTACCCGCCTGGAAGGCGCTCTCATCAGCAAGTCACCCAGGCACCAACTCCTGGGCGTTTACGCTTGACTACGAAACCATGCAGTGGATGCAGCTCGATCAAAACGGCGACGCCAACAGCTGGTCCCTGGGCGAGTTCCTCGCCCAGGATGAGGTGCGAGTCATGATGCTCGACCCAGCGTGCACCAAGTCGCTCACATTCCGTGAGTTCGTCAACGGGCCGATCATCTCTCCAAGTCGACTGCGATCTCGGACTCCGACAACTGGACCGGTGCACCAGCCGCGGAGGACGATGGCTCCCTCGACGACATCCCTTCATCGACGGACGCCTTCACCGCCGCCGGCCCTGGGCCATCCAGCGCGGCCTCCGACGGCCTGCACGTGATCGAGCGGGTACAGAAACGGTGGCTGCCGCAGCTCACACCCTAATCGATCTGCCTTAGGCACGGAGCCAACGGAGCCATCGCGCATGCCCGCATCGCGTGCGGCTCCGAGGTCTCCCGCCGAGACCGGCTCGGCGCGGCGCGTGGCCGCACGCCGCCGTTGAAAAGGCGAGATAGGACCGAGGGGAGAGCGCCGGCCACATCGAGCGAGCGCTGACGTGTAAGGTGTCTGTGCTGCTCCGGTGTGTGTGGGATTCTGCCTCCCCCCCCATCTGTGCGGCGAGTTGTTTGCGGCGCGATGCCCGATCGTGCGCGATAGCCTCCCATTGTGCGTGGTGTGTCGGTGTGTCGGGGTCGTCCGGAGCGCGTGTGGCGGCGCCGTTGCATGCAGCGACTGCTCCACGTGCCACGACTGCTTTGACTGACGTGACTGACTGATGAGTGCCACGACTGCTTTGACTGACGTGACTGACTGATGAGACATGAGTGCTGATGGATGATCTCCGACAACCCAAAACCAAAATGCCTGAGCCCTGGTGTCGAGGTGTCGAGGCCCGGTGTCGAGGGTGTCGAGCTGCTGTCGAGGGATAGAGGTGTCGAGAGGCCTGTCGAGGCCTGTCGAGGCCTGTCGAGGCCTGTCGAGGCTGGGACCAAGCTTGTCCGTGTCGAGGGGTGTCGAGGGGTGTCGAGGGTGTCGAGGGTGTCGAGGGTGTCGAGGGTGTCGAGCAGGTGTCGAGTGTTGTCAAGGGGTTTTGCGTCTAAGGTGTCGAGGTGTCCAAGGTGGCAGGATGCAGTTGCAGCCCATCAACAAAACTTGGGCAGCAGTTGCAAAGCTGTTTCATCCCTTAGTTGCAGCCTCAGTTGCACCCTGTTGATGTAGCACAACCTGAGCACAACCAGTATACTCTCTGTGGACATTTGAGGACATCAAGTGCCGGGAGTCATTGCCACTGTGCACAAAGGTGCTGTGCAGGCGCAGCACCGCAGCAGCGTCGCCGCTGCAGCAGCGTCGCCCCTGCAGCGTCACCGGCGCACAAAGCGCAACTGACCACAGCGCTCATATGGCACAAGGCTGGTGCCATGAGTCAGTGGACATTGCCACTGCACAAGGTGCTGTCCAGCAGCTAAGGGCTGCCAGTACCCCATCGCAGCAGCGTCGCCGCCGCTGCAGCGTCGCCGTTGCAGCCGAGCGTCGCCAGTGCACAAAGCGCAATGGACCACAGGTCTGCACTCATGGCACAAGCTCACTGGTGTGAGGATTCATTGCCACTGTACAAGGTGCTGTGCAGCACCTGAGGGCTACCTGAGTACTGCCATGTTTGCTGCATCAACAGGGGTGCAACTGAGCTGCAACTTGAGCTAGAACTTGAGAGGCTGCAACTCAGGGATGAAAGTACTGCCAGCCAAGTTTGATTGCTGCTGCAACCCTGATTTCTAACTCTGACTCCAATGGGTCTACATCTCTGCTGTGTTAGGATCATCAGAGGTGTCGAGCGGTGTCGAGCGGTGTCGAGCGGTGTCGAGCGGTGTCGAGCGGTGTCGAGGGGTGTCGAGGGGTGTCGAGGTGTCGAGTTTGGCACCTTGACACGGACGAGCTTGGTCCCAGCCTAGATGGTGTCGAGGGGTGTCGAGGGGTGTCGAGTTGGTCGAGTTGGCATGGGGTGTCGAGGTGTCGAGTCAGTGTCGAGGTTTGGTGTCGAGGTGTCGCGGCCAGGGCTCAGCAAAATGCAAATGCGGAGTGGCCCACTTTGGCGTGCAGATCCTGCGTCTCTCACTGCCCGAACAACAGAGACGGGTACTTGTAGTATAGTAGGGTGAGAATTATGAAAAACGCCGGAATTCGGACGAGTACTCTCGCCTGCACAAATCCGCCGCAGGTCCCACACTAGGCCCAGAAAAATTCTTTCTCGCGATGTCCACCCCACCGCGCCGCCGCTCGCGCCGCCTCGCCCCCGCCACCTCCGCCGCGCCCCCGCCAAGTACGCCGCCGCCCGCCCGCCTCCTCGACCTCCCCAGGGAGCTCCTCGTGCGCGCCCTCTCCCGCTGCGACCCCGCCGGCATCGCTCGCGTCGCGGCCGTCTCGCTGCTCTTCCACGCCTCGCTTGCGGTGGAGGCCATCCGCTTGTGGGCGCAAGAGCGCGGCTTCGAGCTGCCGGCGCAGCCAGAGGGCGAGAGCTGCGCCGTGCGGTGGCTGTGCTTTGCTGCGCTGCTGCGCGAGGCCAACCTGCTGGCGAGGGTGGCGGCGGGCGAACGGCACAGTGTCTTCATCGACGGCGAGGGGCGGCTCTCGTCGTGCGGCTCGGAACCGGAGGGCGAGGAGGAAGAGGAGGACGAAGAGGAGGTATTTCAAGGCCTTCTCGGCCATGGCGAGGGCGTGACGCGGCTCAATACGCCGACCCGCCTCCCTTCTCCGCTGGGCGGCGAGCGTGCCGTGAGCGTGTCGGCGGGACGCAAACACAGCCTCGCAATCACCGCCGACGGCGCTGTCTTGAGCTGGGGCGATGGAGAGTTTGGCAAGAAGGTGGAGGCCTTTGCTGGGCGGCGCGTCGTCGCTGTGTCGGCTGGAGCCGATCACAACCTCGCCCTCACCGCCGACGGCTCTGTCTGGAGCTGGGGCTGGGGAAGTTTTGGCGCGCTGGGCCACGGCGACGAGCAGAACCAGCTGCAGCCGAAGAAGGTTGAGGCCTTGGCTGGCCAGCGCGTCGTCGCTGTGTCGGCTGGAGTGGGCATCAACCTCGCTCTCACCGCCGACGGCAGCGTCTGGAGCTGGGGCGATGGAGGCTTTGGCGAGCTGGGCCACGGCGACCGGCAGAGCCAGCTGCTGCCCAAGAAGATCGAAGCCTTTGCTGGCCGGCGCGTTGTCGCTGTGTCGGCTGGAGCAGCCCACAGCCTCGCCCTCACCGCCGATGGCGCTGTCTGGAGCTGGGGCGCTGGAGAGGATGGCCAGCTGGGCCACAGCGACGAGCAGGACCAGCTGCTGCCAAAGAAGGTCGAGGCCTTTGCTGACCAGCGCGTCATCGCTGTGTCGGCTGGAGGCAGCCACAGCCTCGCCCTCACCGCCGACGGAGCTGTCTGGAGCTGGGGCGAGGGAGCCTTTGGCCAGCTGGGCCACGACGACGAGCAGAACCAGCTGCTGCCGAAGAAAGTCGAGGCCTTTGCTGGCGAGCGCGTCGTCGCTGTGTCGGCTGGACCCTGCCACAGCCTCGCCCTCGCCGCCGACGGCGCCGTCTGGAGCTGGGGTGATGGCGAGACCGGCTGCCTAGGGCACGGAGAGGACCTGTCGAACCAGCTGCTGCCCAAGAAGATCGAGGCGTGGGGCCTGGGGCGGTGAGCGATGGGGGGGGCGGAAGCCGGAACGGAGCGGGTCTTTAATGAGCCTGTGAGTCTGTGAGCCTGTGCCCTGACTTGGCACTTGGGGGTATGAGGAGAAGGACATTTGCGTGCAGGCGGCGCGGGCGGCTCGCGTCGTCGAGGCTCGAGCGGACGCGCTTTTTCGCGGTGTACAATTTCCAAAAAAAAAACGCGGGATGGCGGTGAAACCGCAAACCCAGTGCGTGCGTGCGGGGGGCGGGGCGTGGTGACTGGAGCGGTGACTCATATGAACCCCCCCCCCCCACACACACACACACACCACCGCGGGGTATGGCCATGCAGCGCGCTGGGGGCGGCGCGGGACCAGCTCCTCTCTTTCCGGTGGGTGGGTGGGTGGTGGGGGGGGGGGCAAGGGGGTTCATTATTCACAACACGCACGTGACGCCCTTCGCCGCGCACGCCGCCCCGAGCGCGACGGCCGCCGCCTCGCTCGCCGCGTGACGCCGCAGGGAGAGCCGCGCGAGGCTCGCCGGGGCGTCGTCCGCCGCGACCGCCGCCGCCAGCGCCTCGACGCCTCGGTCGCCCACCCCATTCTCGTCGAGGTGCAGCTCGCGGAGGGAGGTCGCGCGCGGGAGCGCCGCCGCCAGCGCGGCGGCGCCCTCGTCGCCCACGCCGTTCCAGTTGAGCGAGAGCTTCTCGCACGGCGCCAGCGCGCCGGCCGCCATCAGTGACGCGATGGCCGCCGCCTCGGCGCCGCCCCAGCCGAGGTCGACGAACTCGAGCACCGCCTGAAGCAATCGTGCCACGCTCTCGCGCTGATGGCTGGGGCCGCGGCGGGTGGGTGAAGAGATGGGAGGCTGCAGGCAGGCGGGAGAGGCATCGAGACAGGGCAGCAGTGGGAGGCATGCACACTGGAAAGGCGTACACAGGAGTGAGAGGAGGAGGAGGCGGTGGGGCGGATGCAGCAGTGAGAGGCGCGCGCCGCGGCGGCGAAGCGCTCGGCGAAGCCGGCGCGGTAGAGGTCCGCGACCAGCGGGCGGTCGCACTTTCCGTTGGTGAAGCCCTTCGACTCGAGGGCGGCGGCGAACTCGTCCGGCGGCAACGGCGCGCGGCGGCGCTGCCGGCACTGCGCCTGCAGCTCGGCCCACCTGCGATTCACCGCGCCGTCGCGCTTAGAGCCGGCTGTCACAGGTCTGTGGCGTCGGTTAAGCTCTTATGAGCGGGTGACAGGTGGAGAGCCGCAGGAGGGGAGCTAGCTTCCACGAGCTGGGCTCGCCGGCTCTTCTCGCCCGTGTCGAGGCCGAGGTCGAGCAGCTTGCGCGAGTCTTTGACGAGCGCCGCCCAGGAGGCCTCGCAGAAGCACCAGCCGCGGTCGGGGTACGGCGCGGTGTTGCCCGACCGCCTGTACCGCGCGGGGTCGTCATAGTCGGGCGGGAAGGCGGTCAGCATAAAGACAAACGTCTCCGGGTGCGAGTAGAAGGCGCCGAGGCTGCCCAGCGCACGCTTGAAGAGCACGTCCTCCGCCGGGTAGCGGCCGCCCTCGTCGGTGTGAGTGCGCGGCTGCGGCGCGCCTCCGGCGCCGCGGCAGCGTTGGTGGATGCACATAAAGTCAATGAAGACTGCGAACCGGCCAAAGGACTTGACAAGCAGCTTGAGTGCGCGGCCAACCGCGCGGAGGTTGTGGCCGCGAGGGTCCGGGTGGTCGGGCTGGAGCCAGCAGTGCGAGCAGCAGGCGATGCGGAGGAAGGGGAACGGGTTCTGCGCCGCTTTGAGCTCCGAGAGGGAGACAAACGCAGCGTCGGGCAGCGCCTGGCGCGGCAGCATTACGCCGTCGGGTCGCTCGGACTGCTCGATGAGGTAGCTTGCGTCGATGAGCGCCACGGCGCCAGAGGAGAGCACGCTCTCGAAGTCGGAGCCGCCGCGCGCGAGCCAGAGCTGAGCGGCCTCGTCGGTGACAGCGACACTGGTGGTAGCGGGCATGTGCGGTTGCATATCTTGGCCGCTGTGCGCGTCGATGAGACGCGACGTGAGGCAGGGAGACCGACGATCCGAGCAGTTTGCGGTGGCTTGGGGGCCTATGCTCCTTGACGTCGGGCCCCCCCCCGGGCGCCTTTGGCGAGGCGCGGCCGAGTCGCGGCCCCAGGGTGGGCAGTGAAAAGAATTTTACAATCCTCGCACAACCACAACGCTGACCTCTCAACGCTGCCTGGGCAGCCTCCCTTGGGTTGTCTGTTTTCTTTCTTTCTTTTTTTTCACTGGGCAGCGGCGCCGGACTCAAAAGACACCGCTACATTCCTGAGACGCGCGAGGGCAGCCTCCTTATATGGACCCGCATTATCGAACGAACAGTTGTCGGATCTTTGTTTTCTTTTCCTCGCGATGTCCACCCCGCCGCGCCGCCGCTCGCGCTGCCTCCTCGCCTCCTCCTCCGCCGCCGCTCCCCCGCCAGAGACGCCGCCGCCCGCCCGCCTCCTCGACCTCCCCAGGGAGCTCCTCGTGCGCGCCCTCTCCCGCTGCGACCCCGCCATCATCGCTCGCGTCGCGGCCGTCTCGCTGCTCTTCCACGCCTCGCTCGCCGTAGAGGCCATCCGCTTATGGGCGCAAGAGCGCGGCTTCGAGCTGCCGGCGCAGCCAGAGGGCGAGAGCTGCGCCGTGCGGTGGCTGTGCTTCGCTGCGCTGCTGCGCGAGGCCAACCCGCCGGTGAGGCTTGCGGCGGGCGCACAGCACAGCGTCTTCATCGACGGCGAGGGGCGGCTCTCGTCGTGTGGAACGGCTGAGAGCTGGCAGCCAGGACTGCTCGGCCACGGCGAGGGCGTGACACAGCTCAACACGCCGACGCGCCTCCCGTCGACTCTGGGCGGTGAGCGCGCCGTGAGTGTGACGTCTGGACTCGTGCACAGCCTCGCCCTCACCGGCGGCGGCGCCGTTTGGAGCTGGGGCAGTGGAGCCTCTGGCCGCTTGGGCCACGGCGACGAGCAACACCAGCTGCTGCCCAAGAAGGTCGAGGCCTTTGCTGGCCAGCGTGTCATCGCTGTCTCAGCTGGGCTGCACCACAGCCTCGCTGCCACCGCCAACGGCAGCCTCTGGAGTTGGGGCCAGGGAGGCGTTGGCCAGCTGGGCCACGGCGACAAGGAGGACCAGCTGCTGCCCAAGAAGGTCGAGGCCTTTGCTGGCCAGCTCGTCGTCGCTGTGTCGGCTGAAACCGCGCACAGCTTCGCAATCACCGCCGACGGAGCTGTCTGGAGCTGGGGTTGGGGACGCGAAGGCCAGCTCGGCCACGGCGACGAGCAGGACCAGCTGCTGCCGAAGAAGATCGAGGCCTTTGCTGGCCAGCGCGTCGTCGCTGTGTCGGCTGGGCGCGTCGTCGCTGTGTCGGCTGGAGGCCACTACAGCCTCGCCCTCACCGCCAACGGCAGCGTCTGGAGCTGGGGCCAGGGAGCCTTTGGCAAGCTGGGCCACGGCGAGGAGCAGCGCCAGCTGCTGCCCAAGAAGGTCGAGGCCTTTGTCGGCCACCGCGTCGTCGCTGTGTCGGCTGGAGGCCACTACAGCCTCGCCCTCACCGCCGACGGTGCCGTCTGGAGCTGGGGCTATGGAGGCGTTGGCCAGCTGGGCCACGGCGACGAGCAGAACCAGCTGCAGCCGAAGAAGGTTGAGGCCTTCACCGGCCAGCGCGTCGTCGCTGTGTCGGCTGGAGTGGGCCACAGCCTCGCCATCACCGCCGACGGAGCCCTCTGGAGCTGCGGCGCTGGCGAGACCGGCTGCCTAGGGCACGGAGAGGACCTGTCGAAGCAGCTGCTGCCCAAGAAGATCGAGGAGTCGGGTCTGGGGCGGTGAGCGATGGGGGGCGGAAGCCGGAACGGAGCGGGTCCTCAATGAGCCTGTGAGTATGTGAGCATTGTGTCCGTGCACACAGCTCCTCTGTACCCACTCGTGACGTGTGCAGGCGCTCCGAGACGCGCGGGCCGCGGCAGCACCTGGCGGAGCCGGAGGACGGCCGTCGTTGCGCTTCCGGGTGTGTGCCGCGTGTCGGTGGACGGACTGGACGGTGCTGGCATGACGGGTGCGCGGCGCGGGCGGATGACTAGGGGAGAGAATGCGGAGAGACTAGCTCGCAGGTAGATGTGCTCAGCCAAGGGTACGCAGGGATATGAGGGGAATGTGTCAGTGTGAGGGGTGCACCAACCGCAGAGCGTCGTGTTTTGCCTTTGAAAACTGAACAGTTTTTTGACAGATGGCAGAGCCGGATGACAAGAAATAAAAACACAAAACCGAACAGAGCCGAAAGCGACACCCCAGCGCGCCAGGACGCCGAGGCGCGAGAGCCCTCGGGGCGGCTCGAGGCGGGAGAGCGCAGCGCTGCGCTCACCCCGACACTCGCGCGCTCAGTCCACCTCCTCCATCTTGGAGCCCTCGTCGCCGTCCTCCTCGAGGGGCGGCAGCTCCTCGACGTCGTCCGCCTCGTCGTCGTCCTCGATGGAGAGGCCGAGCTTGATCATGCGGTGGATGCGGCCGGCGAAGGTGGCGGGCTCGTCGAGCGAGAAGCCCGAGGTGAGGAGGGACGTCTCGAAGAGCAGGTGGACCAGGTCCTTGACCGTCTTGTCGCCCTTGTCGGCGGCCGACTTTGCCTTGAGCTCCTTCATGATCGAGTGCTTCGGGTTGATCTCCATCGTCTTCTTGGAGGCCATGTACGAGGACATCGACGAGTCGCGCAGTGCCTGCGCGCGCATGATGCGCTCCATGTTCGCGGTCCAGCCGTACTCGCCCGTCACCAGCACGCAGGGCGACTCGGTGACGCGCTCCGACATGACAACCTTCTCAACCTTGTCGCCGAGGATCTCCTTCATCAGCTTGCAGAGCGGCTCGAAGTCGGCGGTGAGCTCCTCCCACGCCTTCTTCTCCTCCTCGGTCTCCTCGAACTTGAGGCCCTCCTTGGTCACCGAGACGAGCTTCTTGCCGTCGTACTCCTTGAGCTGCTGCACGCAGTACTCGTCGATCGGGTCCGTCATGTAGAGCACCTCGTAGTTGCGCTTCTTGCAGCGCTCGATGAAGGGCGACGTCTCGACCGCCTTCTTGGTCTCGCCCGTGATGTAGTAGACATCCTTCTGCGACTCGGGCATGCGCGAGACGTAGTCCTTGAGCGAGGTCATCTCGTCGCCCGACTTGGTCGAGTGGTACATGAGCAGCTCGGCGAGCTTGGCGCGGTTGCCAGAGTCCTCGTGGATGCCGAGCTTGACGTTCTTGGAGAACTGCTCGTAAAACTTCTTGAAGTCCTCGGTGTTCTCCTGGATCTCGCCGAAGAGCTCGATCGCCTTCTTGACGATGTTCTTCTTGATGACCTGCGCGGCGCGGCGGGGGGGAAGGGGGTCGGAGGGAAGAGAGTGGGCGGGCGCGGCTCGGGGGGCGCGCTGGCGGCGCGCCTTGAGGATCTTGTTCTGCTGCAGCGTCTCGCGCGAGATGTTGAGGGGCAGGTCCTCCGAGTCGACGACGCCCTTGACAAAGGTGAGCCACTCGGGGATCAGGTCCTCGCAGTTGTCCATGATGAAGACGCGGCGGACGTAGAGCTTGATGTGGCCCGAGTTCTTCTTCTTGGGCTCAAAGAGGTCGAAGGGCGCGCGCTTGGGCACGAAGAGGATCGAGGTGAACTCGAGCTGGCCCTCGACGGAGAAGTGCTTGACGGCGAGGTGCTCCTCCCAGTCGTTGGAGAGCGCCTTGTAGAAGGCGCCGTACTCCTCCTTGGTCACCTCCTCGGGCTTGCGCGTCCAGATGGGCTTCTGCTTGTTCATCAGGTCCCACTCGTGCGTCACCTCCTTGACCTTCTTCTTCTTCTTCTCCTTCTTCTCCGCCTCCTCGTCGACCTCCTCGATCTTGGGCTCGTCGCCGTCCTCCTCCTTCTTCTCGTCCTCCTCCTCGTCCTCGTCGTCGTCCACCTCCTTGTCCACCGTCTTCTCGGTCCAGAGCGAGATCGGGTAGTTGATGAACTCGGAGTGCTTCTTGACCAGGTCCTTGAGGCGGCGCTCCTCGAGGTACTCGAGCTGGTCCTCCTTGAGGTAGCACATGATCTTGGTGCCGCGCCCGAGCGCCTCGCCGTCCGCGTCCTTGCGCACCGTGAAGGAGCCGCCCGCCGCCGACTCCCAGACGTGCTGCTCGTCGTCGTTGTGCTTTGACGTCACGACGACGCGGTCGGCGACGAGGTACGACGAGTAGAAGCCGACGCCGAACTGGCCAATCATGTTGATGTCGGCGCCCGCCGACATCGCCTCCATGAAGGCCTTGGTGCCCGACTGCGCGATGGTGCCCAGGTTGGTGATCATCTCGGCCTTGGTCATGCCGACGCCAGAGTCGATGATTGTGAGCGAGTTGTTGGACTTGTCGGGCACGAGGCGGATGTAGAGCTCGGGGTTGCCATCGAGGACCGACTTGTCGGTGAGCGACTGCGGAGGGGGAAGGGGGGGCGGGGGCGTGAGCGGTGTGAGCGGCGCGGCAAAAGTGCCCGGGGATAAGGATTCCCCGGGATTCCCCGCGCCGTGCGCGCGCGGCGTGTTTGTTTGGGGGAGGGCGGCGGAGGGCGGCAGCTGCGCCGCCGCGCCGCCGGCGGACGGCAATGCGGCGGCGCCGCGCGGCGGACGGCGAGCGGCGGCGCCGCGCGGCGGGCAAGACGCCGCCCCGGCAGATGGGGCGTGCGCGGCGCGCGTGTGTGCGAGCAGTCGAGCACGCCTGGTGACGGATCTTGTCGAGCGCGTCGGACGAGTTGGAGATGAGCTCGCGGAGGAAGATCTCCTTGTTTGAGTAGAAGGTGTTGATGATGAGACTCATCAGCTGGTTGATCTCAGCCTGGAAGGCAAACGTCTCGACCTCCGCCATGGCGACTGGTTGTTCTGCGGCGCGGGGAGGAGCGGGGAGGTGGGTCGCCGGGCGAGTCGGCGGAGGGCGGTGCGGGTGTGGCGGAGGAGAGGCGGCGAGGCGGGGCGAGGCCGGGCCGG